CAATTATACATTTTACGCGAATTAAAATTTTTAAAATAATATATTTTACGCAATTTTAATATACGTGTATTTTATAAATTATATAATTAAAGTTTTTAAATTAATATATTTTACGCGATTTAAATATACGCGTATTTTATAAATTATATAATTAAAATTTTTAAAATAAAATATTTTACATGACTTTAATATACGCATATTTTATAAATTATATAATTAAATTAATTATAAATAACCTTCAAATAACTTTTTTTAAAAATTTAAACAAAATGTTTTCAAGTGAATTACTCGTTATTATTTTTCAATTGATTATTGATGATATTTTTGACAAAAATAAAATCGAACAAATTTTTGATGATTACTCTGAAAATTCAAGCTATGAAATAGCTCAAATTCGAGTAAATAGTGAAATAACACCAATTAAAACAATAAATAATATTCGAATAACATGTAAAGATTTTAATAATATCTTTACTATTTTGTTTAAAAAAAGTTTTATAGATTATTTTGATATTAAAATCAATCTCGATTCAACAAAATTATGGAAAGAATTAATTGAAAATTCTGTTAAAGAAGATATAATGAATAATATAAATGAATATTATTTACAATTAAGAATGGAACATTCTGAATATTCATATTTAAAATCTACAACTCCTCAAAATAATGATATTAGTTTTTCAGAATTTTTTACTTTTCTTGGGTGTTATATGAAATATAATCAATTACGTTCTATTGTTTTAATACCAACTTATGATTATATTACTGGAGATGTTTTTTATGATTATAATTGTATAGAATGCGATGGTTATGCAAGTTTTAAAAGTGTGATTTTCTTAAAAAATGTTCTGACTGTGAAGATAATTGTCGATGTTATTGTGGTAATTTAGCTATAAAAAAAATAGTTAAAAAACAAAATCAAAATCAAGGAAAATATTTTTATACTTGTAAAAACAGAGAATGTAATTTTTTTGAATGGTGTTAAACTTTAATTTTTATATAATTTTTAGAATTTTTACTTAATATTTTTTTTATATAAATAAACTCATATCTTTTTAATAATTAAAAATGAACTGGCAACAAAAATTCGAAAATTTTGAGATTGTTACAGATTAGGAAAAATATAAAAATCTTGATAAACCAAAACTTAAGCTAAATGAATATCGACTTGTAAAAATCGATTACAAACTATATCTCGAAATTAAAACTCAAACCCCTGAGATTACTTTTCTAACAGATCTCAAATATTTTGATCATATCAAAAATTATACTTGGAATACTTATAAACCAATAATAAAACATAATTATTATATTAAAACAGAAATTAAAATAAATAATAAACGAAAATCTTTACTATTTCATCGATTGATTAAACCTGAATGGCCTATGATTGATCACATCAACAGAGAAAGTTGTGATAACAGAGAGTGTAATCTTAGAAAAACTACTCCTAAAAAAAACCAATTAAATCGTAGATTATCTAAAAATAATTCTTCTGGATTCAACGGAATTAGTTATATTCAAATTCATAAATTATGGGTATTTAATTGGCAAGAAAATAGTAAATCTAAAAAAAAATATTTTAAAACAAAACAGGAAGCAATCGAATTCAAGTTAAATCATGATAAAATCACAGGGAATAGAAATGGTTATTAAATAGTTCAAAATTTTATTTAATTTGATTATTACAAGAAATTTTATTATGTAATTATTGTTTAAATAATTA